CACCCATCTGCTGCTATCCCCCAAGTCCAACCCCAAGCTGCACTCTGCACAGACACAGATGCCCTTGGGAGCCAACCAGGCCACACCCACAATCCTACCCACCTGCCTGCCCCTCCACTCGCAGGCCAAGCCAGGTGAGAACTCTTGGTCAATTCTTGGACTGTGGGGCTCCCTAGACATCATCCGGTGTCCTGTACCAGCCCCATCGGCCCTTGCTGCTGCCCTATTCCAGCCCTTCTGTTCTCACCAGCCACCCAACCCACCCACAGCTTCTCCACCAGGACCCTGGCAGTGTTGCTTCTAGGGCACTAAGAGCTCACTGAACTGAGGGAATAAGGTCCTTCCCACCCTTGACCTCAGCTCACTCCCAAAGGCTGAACATGGCAGCTGGTATGGTGGGCATTAAGGCAGAGGAAGGAAACCTGGCAGAGCCCTAAGGAGGAGGAACAGGATCAGCAGTGGGCATGCCTAGACCACATGCTAGAGATCAGTGGCCATCCACCTGGGCTCCAAATGACACCCTCAGACACAAGCTCCCAGGGACTGGAGGAAGGCCAAGTGCTGCCCAAGGCCTTTTGTGCCCCCAGCAGGTTAGATAGATGCAGTACCCAGGGTCACTGCCTTGGGGCAGGACCACGAACTTTTGTGGACCTGGGGCCCAGGTGACTATGTAGGGATGGGCTGATTGCACTGAGTAGCATGGTCCTGTAAGGACCCTGACCCAGCAGGCACATGGCAGACACTGAACCCTGGGGTTTTTCATCATGTCACTGGGGTAAGACCCAGAGAAGACTCTGGAGGCTCCTCTCAGGAAGCCACCCCGCTTCCTCCTCTTCTGGCTGGCCAGGACACACTTCACTTCCTGAGCCTCTTCCTCGGCTGCCACACTCTGCTCTGACCTGTGCCCTCCCCAGGGAAACCCAAGTATCCTTCAGGGGCCTCAGTTCTCTCCCTGCACTGAGCTGAGGGTGAGTCCAGGCATGCCACACATCAGGACCCCCTCCATGACCCTGGGACTCTGTGGGCTTCTAAAGGCTTTCCAGGCTGGTCCTTCTTCACAGTGAGGGGTGGCTGGTGGATCTGGCAAGGGGAGTGACTGGTCTCCTAGAGCAGGAATGGGGCAGTGACTTAGCGATAGCCACCACGGGCACAGCTCCTTCAGGCTGAGTGTCCTCATCCTACATGGGAGCTCTTGGCCACTGGGCCCCATGGCCAGTGAACTAAATGATACTTACCCAGCACCCAGACTTCCTAGGCCATTGAGTGCCTAAGACTTCGCTAGAGAGGGCCCTGCCTACGTAGAGGCTGCCCACAGGGGATGGCTGGGCTTGACCAAGCTATTCTCGCTCTGGGAAGGTTTTGGAGACAGGTGTCGATTTGAATCATGTTTTCACTTCACAGTGCCTTCTGGTAGTGCTGTGGCTTTAGAAGGAAAGGCACAGGCCTAACCCTACCTGCCAGACCTGGTCCCACCCATTCTCAAGGGCCCATGAGAAACTGAAGCCTTGGTGCACCCTAGCTGTCCCCACCCAGAAAGCACCCACTGTGTGCACAATGCAGACTCTAGAGGTGGAGCAGCAGACAACACAGACACAGGAAACTAGGAGGGAAGGAAAACTAACAAATAACAGGACAGGAAAAACTCAAGGTGAGGTCACAGTGACCAGTGGGTTAGGGAGGGCAAGGTCACCATGAATAGTAAGCCAGGGAGAACAAGGGAGGTCCTGTGAGTGGTGGGCCTGCTGGCCTCATTGGGTAGCGATATTGAAGCTGTGTCAGAACTGGAGACAGGTACTCTAATTAATTGCATGCGCAAAGGCCTTGAGCATGGCTCAGCATGAACAAAGACTAGAGACCAGGGTAGCAAGAACAGTGGTGGGTGAGGACAGCCCCTCATAACAGGGTCAGAGGACATCAGTCAGAAGGCAGGAGATTCTCACAGGAAGCACCAAGGAGCCTGCCAGGCTCTGAGGGTGACTGGCACTCAATGGAATACCTAACCTGCATCCTAGAGAACTGCAAACAGGAAGGAGGGTGGGACAACCTAGTAGCATCCTGTCTCCATGGACACCAACCATAAAGAACAGAGAAAACCCATCAGCCACAGTGTGGGGTGTTGGGATGCATCAGAGAGCACGCTGCAGTGGTTGTCTTTTGGAACCCCCAAAGCCTGCCCCATGCCACCTTCCTCAGGACCCTCCAGGAACCTGCCTATACCTGCCACCTTAGGTTCAGCCAGTGGCTGCCAAGCTCCCTTCCTTCAGGAACTCTCCCCCCACCCCCGCCCTATCTCTAGAAGACCCAGAGCCAGCAGCTGATAGTACAAGAGTAGGACATGGGGCTAAAGAAAAAGAAAGGGACCTGTCAAAATGGTGAGGCAGAAATGCCAACACCTCCACCATGTGGGAACTCTTCATGTCACCCCCTTGTACATGAGTGGGAACTGCTACTTCCTGCCTGGTGTCTGGAATAGCTAGGCACACCCTCTGCACAGGACCTGGCCTCCCTTAGGCTGAGGACTGAGTATCCTCCTCAGGTCACTGACCCAGTCCTCAGGGACCCAGCCTTCTTTGCTGCAGACCAGTTTGGGCCAGAGGACAGTATTTGCCAGGCTATGAATCCTAAGCAGCAGAGACCCTGATCCTAAACATGGAACAGAGGAAAGGCTATAACTGGAATAGGGACTTGGGGCTCCCATCAATCCCATTCTCCAAGCCAAGTGAGTGAACACACAGTGTTAAAATGAAAACACTGGAGGCTGAGAATATGGCTCAGGGTATAAAGCATTTGTTCCACGAGAATAAGGACCTAAATTCAAACCCTGGGCACCCATGTGAAAATCCTGGTATTGCTGTGTGTGCCTGTAATCCTAGCACTGGGGAGACATGGACAGGTGGGATTCAGGAGCTCCCTGGCCAGCTAATCAAGCTGAATGGGAGAGTTCTGGGTTCATGAGAAACCCTGTCTCAAAAAGATAAGGTAGCAAATGATAGAAGACATTGGTGTCAACCTTTGGCCTCCACACATACATGTGTGTAAAGGGACATGTATACACACATATACCACAAACAAAATAAAAATAAAAACCTTTGGTGGTTACTCTGTCCTCCAAGCTATGCTTCCCATAGTACAAGGGCAGTCTCTCCCCAGGAACCCCCAAGTCCCCAGTCAAAAGCTTCCCAGACTGCTGCTTAAACCCCTCTGGGGACCTGGCTCACAGTCACTGATGCTGTGTGCCTTCCTCCAGGACCCACTCCCCGCTGCAGCTCTGCCTTCATGGTTCATGACTGTGACTGGCTTCCAGGCATATCCTGGGGTATACACTGAACAATCAACCTTCCTCAGGCCTTCTCAAGCCCCTTGGGAAATGAGGAAAATGGTCTTTTTCCTTAAAAAACCCCTGCCCACCTCTCTTGTACATCAGTCTCTATATTGGAAGCCAGGAGGGCCAGGGCTATCCTCTAGGGTCCTCAAGGCTCTCTTGAAATGACTCAAGTCACACTTAACTCTGTAGAGTCCACTTACTAGCCTCCCCAGCCATCTTCTTCCTCTGCCTAACACACAGGATGCTTATCCCAGGACCCACTGCCATTCTTGTGTGGGACACTCAGCCCTAAGCTGCTTCAGATTCCCAGTGTAGTCTTTAAGGATGCCCTGCAGAGCCCAGGCTCCCAAATGGGTCCCTTCAGGGCTTCACCTTGTAACAGTGTTACTACCTCACAGATACACACCTACACAGTTGTATTCTGTGACACTGTCCAAACACTGCAGATAAACATTATATACAAAGTTACACTGTGTAACTTTATCTTCTAAGGCACCCATTAGAAAAACCTGATTGCCCCCATAGAGAACATGCACATCCATAGGTACAAGGCCACCACGAAAAAGAACATGGCAGATCTCAATAAAGCAATATAAGCCATCTATTAACGGAGAAAAACAGATACCAAAGCAAAGCCAATGTCTCCTTGATAGGTGGTGCTGGGCAAGCTGGGACTCCACATGCAAAAGAAGAAGGCTGGACTCGTATACCTCATGCAATAACCAAAGACCTCCATGTAAGGCCTAAAACCGCCAAACCCTGAGAAAGACGCCTAGGACAAAAGCTTCATGATATTGGAGTTAGCAATGATTCTTTTACAGGACACCAAAGGCTTGGGCCACTAAAGAAAAAAATAGACTCTCAGGCTTCGTGAAAATGTCAATGTCATGTGGCAAAAGGTCGTATCAACACAATGGGAGATTTTCAGATCATCTGTCTGATAAGGGCTTAGTATCAGGGATAAACAGACTACCATTCAATCTCAAAAAAATAAAACCCAGCTGATTTTAAACATGGCCAAAATTGACTTCCTCCAAAGGTGATTGATACACAGATAGTCAGTAAGCACATGCTTGGCATCTGAGTTTTGTTTCCTGTCACTGTGATAAAATACTCTGACAAAAGCAACTTAAGTGGGGAGGGCTGGAAATGTCAACACGTAGACAATGTAGTGTAGAAGGTGAGTTGTCCTTACCAAGAACAGGAACCCATCCATATGCTACAGCACAGAGGAGCCTTGAAAATAACTGTGTCAGGTGAACTGAGCCGGTTACACAAAGACATACTATGTGACTTTACTGGGACAAGCACCCTAGTGTCAGATCAACAGAGGTAGAAAGCAGGATGGGATGCTGGGAGCTGGAGAGAGGTAGGGGAGTCAGCTTTACATGGGGTCAGGGTTTCAGTTTGGAAGATGGAAAGTTCTAGAGCTGGAGACTGGGGTAGTTTGCAGTGTGTGGAATGTGTGTCACAACACCCAGCTCAGAACTTACAATGGGAAGGTTATGAAATGCCCTCCACGACTTCATGTGTTTGAACACTCAATTCCCAGCAAGTGGTGCTGTTTGGGAAGGTTTTGGAACCTTTAGGGGGTGAAGACTCAATGAAGGAAGTGAGCCACTGGGGGTGGGGCTTGAGATTTTTAGCCTGGTCTAACATCCTGTCTTGTCTGCAGGTCCACCAAGATGTGAACAAGCAGCCTCAGGCTCCCACTGCCACAGCCTCAAGGCCTCCTGCAGCCACACCTTCCCTATCATGACAGATTATATCCCCTCAAACAACAAGCCGCCACAAACTCTTCCTCCTCTGTGGTGCCACTTCTCAGGTATTTGCTCAGTGACGAGGAAATAGCCAGTGCAGGTAAAGATAGTAAATGTTGTGCATGTTTTACCACAATGAAACCTAATAGAAGGGAGTGAAGAGATGGCTCAGCAGTTATGAGAACTGGTTGCTGTCTCAGTGGACCAAGGTTTGGATCCCAGCACTAACTCCAGTTCCAGGGAATGGGACACCCTCTTCTGACCTCCTCTGCCATAAGGCATGCACATTATACATGTGGAACACACACACACACACACACACACACACACACACACACACATGCTCAACTGTGTGTGACAACTACAGAAAGGGTAAACTGCAGCAAGGGAACTAGGCAGGATTGGCCAGGGCTGGGAAGGGCAGGTAAAATACTGTTCTGAGAATCTTCACAATGGGTGTCTCACTTCCTTTCCTCATATCCCTAAATCAGCAAGTCCTGAACCCACTCGGTTTGGGACACCAGAATGAACCACCAGCTCCACGCCAATGCAACTTGTGACAAGCACCCGATAGGAAACCTAACCTGAATCACTGTGGGCAGCAGGGTACACTGAGGCTAGTGACAGAAGAGCTGCACACAGACACTGGGTACCTGCCCTCCTAACTACTCCCAGAGAAGTGACAGCCCAGGAACTACCATGTGTGTGCTGGGCCCCAACAAGCAAGTCTTCATGCTGGGAACCATTCACACTGTGGGAAGAAGATGCTGCAGTAGAGAATGTTTGCCTTGAGGAGCTGGGACTGAGCCACCAGTATGAGGCCATGTGTGTATTCATGCATCCAGGAAAGAGACCCAGAATGGGAGATGGTGGGCACACAGCAGCATTCCCACCAAGGTAGAGCAACCACATGGGGGTGGGGGGTGGTGTGCAAGCTTGGCTTTAGGGAACTGGGTTCCAATCCAAGGAGCCAGCTCTCCTTGGAGAAGAGATGGTTTTTGGACTGGGACAGGGAAAATTTCAAGTGAGCCTGTAGCTTTAGGAACAGTAGAGAAGGTTCCAATTAAAAAAAAAAACCAAAAAAAACACCAGGGTCACCAGACAGTGACCTAAAGAGACCCGGATACCAAAGCCACAGGATTTGAACAACAAAAATAAACAATGCACAGCTGGGCACACGCTGTCATCCCAGGACTCGGGAGATGGAGGCAGGGAGAGCAGAGGCCTCAGTGTGAGGCCCACCTGGGAACCTGAGACTTCTCTCTCAAAACAAAAGCAAACCACAGCGCTGGAGAGATGGAGCCATGGGTAGGAGTTCTTGCTGCACAAGCATAAGGACCTGACTTCAGATCCCAGCACCCACATAAAGAGCTGGGAGTGCTGGCATGAGTCTGCGACACCCAGTGCCATGGGGGATGAAGGCAGGAGGGCCACAGGACCTAGCTCCAGGGTCCAGGAGAGATTCTGCCTCGAAGGAATAAGGCGGACAGTAAAAGTGCAGGACATCCACCCCGTGTCCTCTTTTGGACTCTATGCATGTGTACATATACTACATATACAATTACAACACACACACACACACATACACAGAGAGAGAGAGAGAGAGAGAGAGAGAGAGAGAGAGAGAGAGACAGACAGACAGACAGACAGACAGACAGACAGACAGAGAACACAACCAAATAACAAAACCCAAATAAACAAAAGAACAAACATTAAAAACAATAGTGTTGATGTGCTTGCCATAAAGTGTTTATATGTGGCACTGATATAAAGGAAAGTAATTAGAGAGTGTTTAGGGGGAACCCCAAATCTCAAGACACCAGGAGGAAACTTGGAAACAGATGCCCCGCTCAGCAAACACTGCAGAAAGAATCTCACAGGCAAGGCCCACAGCGGAGAGACAGCTCAGTGGTTAAAACTACCAGCTCTTTTTGCTGACCTGGATTCAGTTTCCAACACACACATGGCAGCTCACAACTGCCTGTAACTCCAGTTCTAGGGGATCCAATGCTCTTTTCTAGCTTCTTCAAGCATCAGACACACAGGTGGCACATAAACACACATGCAGGCAAAACACCCATACACATAAAACAAATAAATCTAAATTATATGCCACCTACAGTCTAGCAGAGGTGAATTTGTATGTCTGGGGGTATCTGCCCCAAGGTAGTTTCTGAAGGTAAGTCCCCACGGAGCAGCTAAGGTCACACGTGAGGAGATATGACACAGTCCAGCAACCCTGTGATCTACTCCTGGGATCTACAGTGCGGCTCCTGGGCTGATTTCCCCCAAATTCACAATTTCTATCTGATCACAGAGCCCATCAGAGTGAAGGCGCAGGACGCAACAGCTGGCATCCCTCAAAATGCCAAGGTTATGAGAGACAAAGACAGAGCTTTTACAGGTGGCAGAGACAAGGCAGCTGCGAAACAGTACGATGTGAGGATCACAAAAGAGAAAAATGCATTCTCAGTGGGCTGGCGTAAGGCCAGAGATTCAGTTGTCACTTACTGGTGACAATCCTCTGGTTTCAATCATGTGCCCCAGTGATGTAATTTCCTGAGATTATGGGGACAGCTGGGGGACTCTGTACTGTCCTGGATCATTATCAAGCCCAAAATTATCTCAAAATAAAAAGCAAGAAAAATGTAGGGATGCTGAGAGACCAGATCTTATCAACTGTTACTCAAGCCTTCAGTGCTTCCTGATGGTCTGAGTCACAGCTCTGGCCTATCTCCCCTGCCACCTTCCTCTCCCTTATCCACACCTCCCCCAGCTCATCTGCTCCAGCCAGGGCCCCTGGCTGCTCCCATAGGCGTCAAGCTCTTGTCCACAGGGCCTTTGCACATGTGGTGGCCTTTTGCAGAAAAGGCATGGCTCACTCTCTCTATTGACTCAGGTTGAGGTGGTGGCTCCCCTGACTATCCTCCAGAAGGGTACTTGGCCCCTTCTCCACCCATCCCCTGTGTGATTTCTTAGGGGTCTTGACTCTGCCGGATGTACTGCACACTGCATATCTGTTTGTGTCTCTCTCTGCTCTTTGGAATATCACTTTCAAGAGGACAACACTCGCGCCTTATTACCTCAGCTTCCCACAATTACAGGGGCCCAGTGGAAGGGCAGTGGGGTGATAATGAATACAACATGAGACTTAAGAACATTGAGAGTGTTCTTTCACTGAATGAGTTGTTTTGTTTTTGAGAAAATGTTTCACTATGTATCCCTGGCTGGCCTGGAACTTGCTATGTAGGCAAGTCTGGCCTCAGACTCGCAGAAATCCATCTGCCTCAGTCTCCTGGGTGCTGAAATTCAAGGTATGCACCACTACACTCAGTGAGATCCTATTTTTAAAAATTGTACACAGGTGCACACATGTGCACATTCAAGTGTATAGGGGTGTGCATTGCACAAGTGAGCATGGAGCCAGAGGACAACCTTGGGTATCATCCTCAGGAATGCTGCACACAGACTTTGAAATGGGGATCTCTCCTGGGCCTGGAGCTCATCTATTGGTGAGGCTGGCTGGCCAGTGAACACCAAGCATCCTCTCCTGTCTCTGCATCCCAGAGCTGAGCTATCAAGTCCCACCACACCCAGCATTTTACACATTAACTGAGGACCAAACTCTGGTCCTCAGAAGCACATCACTGATGGAGCCATCCCTCCCAAACCTGAAGATGCTAGTTTTGCCTCATCAAATTGGTGAAGTGTTTTGTGATGATCCCCAGCTTTAGAGGTGGAAGTCAGTGATGTCTGACAAGGTGGGTGGGGATAGGTCAGGACATTTCCTGCAGGCCAGTGTGGCTTTGGGTTCCAGAGCCATAAAACCGTGGGAACCCTTTGATCCTGCCAGTCTCCTGGAGATGATGCCCAAGGACACAATCCTGAGTTCCTGCCGAACTGTGAGGATTTGCATCAGAGTGCTATTTTTAATAGTAAGTGAGGAAGCAGTCCAGGTGTCCACAGGAGGGAGTCAAACAAGCTACTTCAATACCACAGGGGAAAGGCAAGGTCCATGCAGAAATACACAGAAAACTTCAAAAAGCAGCATTGCGATTTTCTCAAATATCTGCCTGAATGTATGGACACAGGGTGCTAGCATGTCCATTGCTGCTGAGTGCCTCCTACTGCTCGCACTGACCTGCTGTTTTATAACTCACTTCCCTTGCCCTCTAACAGAGTCCGTGGACTCCCACAGTTCCCATTTTATAGAGAAAAAACTGAGGCAGTAGCAGGGAAGACAATGGAAAAAGAGCCACAGCTTGTGGAAAGCTGCCTTCAACACTGCTCTGGTTTCATCTCCATGGCTGTGATAAAACACTTTGACAGAAAGCAGCTTAGAGGAAGAAAGGGTTTATTTGACTTATACTTCCAGATCACAGCCCACCATTGAGGGAAGTCAGGATAGGAACTCAAGGCAGGGACCTGAAGGCAGGAACTATGGCGGAATGCATCCATCCTCCTGGCTCTCTCACAGGATCATACTCACTGGCTTTCTTATGTAGGCCGGGACCACCTGCCTAGGGAATGATGCCATCCACGGTGGGCTGGTTCCTCCTCCATCAACAATAAAGACAATCCCCCACAGATGTGTTTATAGGCCAAGCTGACCTGAGAGACACCCTTCTCAGGTGATTCTAGGCTGTGTCATGTTGATAATTAAAGCTAACAAAGGCAATCAGTGTGTGCCCTATGTATACACAAGCCCTCAAGTATGTGCAAGTACAAACACACACACACACAGGAAAGAAAAAAATATGCAACCATTTACACAAGCAAGTCACTTGGAAAAAAGACACCAAAAAACCTCCAGTTAGCCTCATTAGCTTTCTTACAATGAATTAATTTTATTTTCTTCCTTGAAATTCCTCAATGTTCTCTGCCAAGCATTTCTGGATTTTGTGGTCAGAAGAACTAACAGAAAACCATGATTGCCCATTTGGCAAGGAGATGTTGATGTTCAGGGGCCTGTACATCAGGGATGGCATTGCCATCAGAGTCTGACTAAGGCAGACTCTGATGGCAATGCCTAGTCAGACTCTGATGGCAGAGTGTCATCATCTGT